GGTTCCTCCATCTTGGAACGACACATGCAGACAGTCTGGAGATGAATATGAGAGGTGAGAGGAGAGAGGAGGAGGTTGGAGGTGAGAGGAGGTGAGAGGTGAGAGGAAGTGGGAGGTGAAAGGAAGTGAGAGGAGGAGGTGGGAGGGGGTGAGAGTTGAGAGGAAGAGGTGGTAGGTGAGAGGAAGTGGGAGATGAGAGGAGGTGGGAGGAGATGAGAGGAAGTGAGAGGTGAGAGGAAGTGGGAGGCGAGAGGAGGTGGGAGGAGGTGAGAGGAGGTGGGAGATGAGAAGAGGTGAGAGGAGGTGGGAGGTGAGAGGAAGTGAGAGGCGAGAGGAGGTGGGAGGAGAAGAGAGGAGGTGGGAGATGAGAAGAGGTGAGAGGAGGTGGGAGGTGAGAGGAAGTGAGAGGAGGAAGTGAGAGGAGGAGGTGAGAGGAGGAGGTGGGAGGAAAGAGGAGGTGGTAGGTAAGAGGAAGTGAGAGGAGGTGAGAGGAAGTGGGAGATGAGAGGAGGTGGGAGGCCAGAGGTGGTGGGAGGTGAGAGGAGGAGGTGGGAGGAGGTGGGAGGAGGTGAGAGGTGGTGGGAGGAGGTGAGAGGTGGTGGGAGGAAGTGAGAGGAGGAGGTGGGAGGAGGTGAGAGGTGAGTGGAAGTAGGTGGTTCCTCCATCTTGGATCGACACATTAAACAGTCTGGAGATGAATTTGAGAGGTGAGAGGAGGAGGTGTAAGGTGGTGAGAGGAGGTGGGTGGTTCCTCCATCTTGGATCGACACATTAAACAGTCTGTATTGAGAGAGGAGAGAGGGGATTTCGGTGCCGGTTTGTTTGCGCGTAAATAATGAATAAAACGCCTGACCGAATGCCCACAGGAGGTCCGCCAGCAGCTCCGACCTCCCGCCGGACCCGGACCCCAGGGAGGCGCCGGAGGACCGGAGGAGGTCCAGCCTCAGTGAGCTGGGCAGCAGGCTCAGCGCCCTCATTCTGCCCCTAAAGACGTTAGTCCGGCCCCCAGAGAAGTGACCGACCACCCGCCCCCCTCTGAGCAGAAAACAAGGGCTTTAGAGCAGTGTTTCTCAACCTTTTTTGAGCCAAGGTACATTTTTCCATAGAAAAAAACAACCAAAAATGTCAAACAAATCTGTATCCGCCTATAGTAACACTATAGTTATTCTTCTTTTATTCTTATCTTATCTTAAGTGTATTGAATAGGAATTAAATAAACACAAAAATATATTATATTTCTTCTTTCAAATTGCACTCAACATGTCCACTTCAATAAACAAATGTATATACAAATTTAATACAAATTTATATACAAATTTATATATTATTTATTTTATTCTTATCTTAAGTGTCTAGAATAGGAATTAAATAAACACAAAAATGTATTTTTATCATATTTTATATTTCTTCTTTCAAATTGCTCTTAACATGTCCACTTCAATATACAAAATTATATACAAAATCTAGTCATAAGGAATTATTACATGATTACTCCACCAGTCACTAGAACAGCACAGACACTCAAAAATAACATATTATTTGCAGATAATTAATTCCTTATCAAAAAATCTTTTTAGACCAATGAGGGTAAATAGGATGATTTTCTACACCTGACCATCACTAACGGCACACTAG